GACGACCTGTCTAATCCTGAGACGGCCCTGGGGGCAGCCAATGGAGCTGGTTGGGGGAGAGGAGCTACAGCCACAGCAGCAGCAGCCGTTCGAGCACCTCTAAAGTTGGAGTGGGGCCCCACAGGCACCGAATGCCAAAGATCCCTCCCCTTGGAGTGAGGGGATCCCAAAGAGTTGGGGTTTTTCCTGGTCCGGGTTTGGAATTACATGCAATAATATGGAGAGGATTTTCCATCGGAGGAGGCCAAAGTGAGAGCTGTTACTCTGGCATTGGAGGACAAAGCAGCAGCCTGGATGGTCGCTTTGCATAACGATGACTTCCCTCTGCTGAGGGATTCCAATGTGTTTATGACAGTCCTGAGGAAGCACTTTGATGATCCCCTGGCAAATCAAAAGACATAGAATCCTACATAGCCAGCTGTTCTGTTTGTTCAACTGCCAAGAGTCCACCAGGAAAGCCTCAAGGACTTCTTCAGAATGTTGCCCGACCCGGTGCACCATGGAAGGAAATATCAATGGATTTTATTGCTGAGCTACAAGAAAGTCTCGGGAATACTGTTATCTGGGTGATCACCAATTTGTTCTCCAAACAAGTCCATTTTGTAACTTGTCCCAGGATCCCATGGGCGAAGACATTGGCTAAATTGCTTATTTTACATGTGTATAGATTACATGGGGTTCCTGAACACATTATTTCAGATTCAATTCAATTCTCTTTTTTGGAAAGAGTTCCTGAATTAATAGGCTCCGCCCAGGGGCTAAGCTCCACCCACCTAATGGGATCTGTGAGAGGCCTAACTTGGTTCTAGAGAAATACCTTAGGTGGTATATCAATTATCAGCGGGATAATTGAGCTGACCTCTTGCCTCATGCAGAGGTGGCGTACAACCATTCAGAACATAGCAGTACTGGAATGACCCCTTTTGAAGTTGTATTTGGCCAGGACTTTGTGCCCATTCCTGAATTACCTCAAGAGAAGCCACAGATTTTGTCCTTGTCTGAGTGGCGTGACCAACTTCAATGTTTCTGGCCAATGACCCGCAAGGTCTTAGATGGGGCACACCAAGCGCACCAAAAACAAGCTGATAAAAAAAGAGTTTCTTCAAAGTACCCAGAAATTGAAGAAACTAGGCCCAAAATATGTGGGTCCATTTCCCATTGTCAAAATTGTAAATCCTGTATCAATGAAATTGGATTTGTGAAAAACTCTTAGGAGGATCTATCCTGTGTTTCAAATAAACTTACTGAAACCAGAACGCATCTTCTATGCATTCACCCCAACCCTCACCCCCTGTTCCCCTTCTTATCGAAGGAGAGCAACATTTTGACGTTAAAGAAATCTTAGATTCCAGGAAACATAGGGGATGTATCCAGTATTTGGTGTTCTGGAAATATTTTCCCCCTTCCCAGGCTGAGTGGGTGAACAAATCTGATGTCAGGGATCCCAGACTTTTACGACAATTCTATTCTAGTTATCCTGATAAACCTTAAAATTGATGCATATTATTGGTTGTTATTGTTGTTTTTCTTTGTTTTATTTCTTTCTAGGGATGATGCCCTTTCTGAAGGAGGGCTGAATGTCAGCCTCTGCTTCACTTGCTTGCTATCAGCTGTCATAGACACAGGAAGAGAGGGGGCCTGAGGTATTTGGGATGAGAAACTTATGGTGCTGGAGGAGTTATCAGAAAGGGAGGTTGAGTCTCACCATCTTCTGCGCATGCTGATGTGTTTGGTCTTGGTCAAGATCAACCGTCTCTGCATGAGAATGAGAAGTTCGAAGATGCACCACACATGACACCTTAGGGAGTTGCAGATTGGTTCATGGGTTGGGGTGATTAGGGGTTGGTGTGTTGGGGTGCTCAAAGCTCTTCTTTTGCCAAAGGCTGGCAGATTTTATCCCCTTGGAATAAAGGAGACTTGGAGACCATCAGCTGGATTAAAGATGATATCTTTATTTATTTATTTATTTATTTATGGTATTTATTTAATTCATTGACTGCCCAACTCCAGTGGACCTGAAGGGGGACAAATGGAAAAGCCCATCCACCCCAAATCTGCAAGATCATTTAATCAAGTGAATTTTTAAAATGCAAGCTCTCTATCAAGGTAGCAAATCAAAAGCAGAGGGGATGGACTAGATGCCCATTGGAACCCCTCAGAAAGAAAGGACCCATCAGCTGAAGGAGCCACCTAAGCCACAGGCCGGATTTTCATTTTGGTGCGCTTGTAGGAGTAATTGAAACCTTTCCCCATAACCCAGTTGATTGCATCAGCAAAGAACTTGTGTTCCCCCAGCAAGTATCTCCCATTGAGGTTGGCAAAGTGGCAGCTTTTGTACCACCAGGCACCCTTGTACATCTCAGCATAGTTGCTCTTTTGGGGATCCCACCGCTTTTCCCGGGTGGAGAAGGGCATGTTGTTGTGGTAGGACAGGGAGTCACCTGGGAGGCAGAGAGGGGGGATGGGTGCCTGGAAGGCCAGCCCAGAGCATCTCCAGGGAGGCCTTCATTGGCCTGNAAGCCCTATGAAGCGGTATATAAGTCTACTGCTATTGCTGCTATTGCTTCATCTCCCGGAGTTCCTCGGTGAACCAAGGAGCCCTCCTGGATCTACTGCCGTGGAGAGGTCGTAAAGGCGCAATCCGGTTTAGAGCCTCCGCCGCCACTATATTTCAAGCCAAGACCAAGGACTCCACCAGACTGTGGGTGAGAGAGTCAGGTATCTCACCAAGTGCCGTCTGAAATCCCATAGGGTCCATCAGGCGGAACCACCTAATCAGTTCCGCGGAGAGGCCGTAAAGGTGCAATCCGGTCTAGAGCCTTCGCCGCCACCAAATTCCAAGCAGCGACCAAGGACCCCGCCGGACTGTGAACGAGAGAGTCAGGTATCTCTCCAAGCACCGTCTGAAATCCCATAGAGTCCATCAGGCGCCTGGGGCGGAACCACCTAATCAGTTCCCCCTCTCTACAGTGGGGGATTGGTTTCCGAAAGTCAAGCCTCAGTAGGAAGTGATCTGACCATGACAAGGGCAAGATCTTAATCCCCTTCAAATCTAGATCACGTCTCCACTGCTCCGAGAAAAATACGAGGTTGAGTGTGTGACCCGCTGTATGAGTCGGACCCTGAATTACCTGAGTCAAGTCCATGGCTGTCCTGGAAGCCATGAACTCCTGTGCCCCATCAGAACATTTGCCGAGCGAAGGCAGATTGAAATCCCCCAGCACTATAAGCCTGGGGAACTCAATCGCCAGCTTGGCTATTGATTTGAGGAGCACAGGGAGGGCTGTTGTAATGCTGTTGGGGGGTAGGTGCGTTACTAACAAACCCACTTGACCCCCAAGGTCCAACTTCACCAGCAGGGACTCACACCCGACAATCTCCAGAGCAGGGATCCTACGAGGAACTAATGACCCTCGGATGATGACTGCCACTCCCCCACCCCTTCTCTATTGTTGCGTCTGGTGGAGCACCTGAAACCCTTCTGGGCACATTTCAGTGAGGGGGACTCCTCCCTCATGGCCCAGCCAGATTTCAGTAATGCATGACAGGTTTGCCCCCTCATCTAATATTAGATCCCGGATGGGAGCTTTGTGAACCACAGACCTGGCATTTAGCAACAGCAGCCTGAGAACAGGGCCCTGACAACTCTCGCCATCTG